TAAAACTGCTCCATAAAATAAAGTCTACTTTGAAAACTAATATATTAAAAAACAATGTTTGTAAAAGATAAACAGAATCATGGACATAATGTGATCGTCCCACAAGTCTGGTCAACACTTACCCAATTATCCAACATGCCACATCTTAGAGCCTTAAACCACACAAGCCCTTCCCTACACCACTCACTCTTCACCTACCAAAATTCCAACTATTCCGACACACATAGTCAAGTTCAATATGCTAACAAGTTCATGAAGTTTTCTTTCCCTGATCCCACCTCTTAAATGCAGGTTCCTTCTTATACCTCTCTGTTCCATGTTGACATCATTCTTTCTGGCTTGAGGACTAAGCTCTGATTTTTTTTTTTTATCTTACCCAAATTCCTTTCTAAGGGAGCTGGGGAGTCATGCCCTACAAACATAAATTCTCATCAGATGAGTTTTATTTAACCCTGTATATCGTGACTTACTTTCCAATCTGACTCTGGCATAACAAGGAAGAAAATCAAAATGTTTTAACCCAAAATATATTTCCTTGCCATACCTTGGAATTGCCCCACAAAGTCCCTTGTGGAAAAAAAATCCACATTCTACAGAGAATCCCATTTCCCCTTGTTTCCCTTCCTTCCTTTCCAGATCCAGGAGATAATCAACTAAGAGCCAGGTACCCTTTCAAGTCTGATAAGAAACTTTTACAACCTGCTCTCTCTAAAGTCTGCTATCTGAGAGCTCTGCATGATAAAAATCGGTCTCCATAATCCTTTATCTTAACCTGAACATTTCCTTTGACCTCAGGTCTTCAGATAAACTTAACCAACTGTCAACCAGAAAATGTTTTAATTTACCTATAGCCTGGAAGCTTCCTGCACCAGCCCCAACCCCTGTGTTGAGTTGTCCCACCTTTCTCAATGAAACTAATGTATTTCTTAAAGGTATTTGATTGATGTCTCATGCCTGCCTAAAATATAGAAAACCAAGCTGTACCCTAACCACCTTGGACACATGTTTTCAGGACTCCTAAGGGGTGTGTCACAGCCCATGGTCACTCATATTTGTCTCAGAATAAATCTCTTGAAATAGTTTATAGAATTTAACTCTTTTTGTCAACAGGCTCATGGTATTTAACCAAAACTTTTCATTAAATGTGACATTTTAAAAATCAGGAATTATATCTAAAAATTCAAATTTCTTACTATTCTTAAAAAAACAATATGACACTGTTACCGGATGGGAATAGGAAAAAGTAGCAGGGACTGCACAGAGACCCTCCCCGTGTGGCATTCCCAACACTGAGGCAGAACTGCTGTCAGTTATCATTGTCCCTGTGTTGTTTTTCTTCTTCCCTCCCACTTCACTCACTCCGAGTGTCAGCCTGGCTCCAGTCCCCATGTGAGGCTGTAGCTTTGTTTAGTTATTAATACTTATTTGTCTCTCAAACCCAAAACTATAAGTTTTTTGAGAGTAAAGATTTGTTTCTCATTCATCTTTATTTCTCATATACTTCCTCCCACCCAACCATAGTATATGTTCATCAACTATTTCCTGTTTGGTGAATTATCAATCAACAAATAGGAAAAATGTTAACACTTAATTCATTATGAATGTTACTCCCTAAGGTTAGAAGTTGGTAGGACTGCATCTTTTCTATATTTAAATTCACTTTGAAACCCAATGAAACCCTTTTTCATATCTGAGTCACAATTAGGTTCCTTTGAGGGTAGAGAGGCTGAGATGTTGGAATGGAAGGAAGAAATCATGTGTTGAAGGCCTACTATGTACTAGGCACTGGTTGTAGGCTAAATAATTAAAATGAGTGAAGGGCAAATCTAGAAATAAAAGAAGTGTCAGGGAAGAAACTTGTGTTGGAGCAGATAGGAAGAGCATTCCAGGACAGCCAGGAGGATTCTGCAATAAGCAGTTAAACTCCTGGGCTGCCAGGTCAGGGAATGGTTACTTTGTGTGAACTTTGTAGAACATTTATAACATTTTTAGAAGTGGCAAACTGATGTTACCTGAAGAGTCTATATGAAGCCTATGACCTTCTCTGTTCCCCCAACTGGAGTTTCTTCTCTTTTTAATCAAAGCAGTCAATTTAATTACATCTACATTGAGAAAGTCTCACTAGATATCTTGCGTTATCTTGTTCCCTAGAAGAAAAATCGATCATACAGAAATGTGTCATATAATCCCTGTGGTCAAAACAAAATAAGAAAAATTTGAAATCAGAAATAGTATATTTCAATTAAGAGTATAATAGCTTTAATCAAAGAAAAACCATAAAGCAAATTCTTTGGCCTAACAGTGCTTGACATGTTGTACTGTAAAACTATTTTAAATTAAATTTCTTAAGATAATGGTAGATTCACACATAGTTGAAAGATACAATATAGAAATATCTCTGGTACCATTTATCCAGTTTCCCCCAGTGGTAACGTGTTACAAAACTATAGTACAATATATCAACCAAAGATATTGATATTGACACAGTCCAGACAAAGCACATTTCTCACCACAAATATTCCTCATGGTTGTTATTTCATAGCCATATTTATTCCCTTCTGCCCTGCTGCCTAATTTTTTAACCTTCGGAAACCACTAATCTGTTCTCCATTTTTTTAATTTTGCAATTTCAATAACGTTATATAAATGGAATCAGACAATAAGTAATCTTTTGGATCGGCTGTTTTAACTCTGAAGTTCTCTGAAGATTAATCCTGCTGTAAACCTTCTGATGCCAATCTTGGAGCAGAATCAAAATCTAGTAAACAAAGACCTGGGGTTCACTGATGACTCACATGAAAGCAAAGGGCACAAGAAAGATTAAATTTCACTGTGCTTTGTTCTCTGTGACAGGTTCCTCTGCTGTTTTCCTACCACTGTAAAAATATAAAAATATTCTCATTGTCAAACCATTTTACTACCAAGACTATTTTACACAGTGGGTTTATAAACCTTTATGTTTGTGTGGCCATAAAAGTTTATGAAGCTTGTCTCAGAAAAACATGGCCAATTAAGTAAGAAAGTTCAAAATCACCCTTATTCATACTAATCATTTCCAATGTATACCAATTTACAGCGAACTTCTTGAGTTTTCCACTTAGAATTCAGTCTTCTCTCTCATAACATAAAAATTAATCTCACTGAAATTGCTGTTGTTGGAAACAGAAGCCCTTATGTTGTGCTTTAACTATTGAAGAGAAGAAATGAGTGCATCTGTCAGCTCCAAAATAAAAAAACCACAAGGTGATTTGTTTGTTCTCCAAATTTTTCCTTCAAATACACTTAGGATGTCATTCATAACCACTTCTGATACCTGCCAACCTTGACAACAGAATCTCATCACTGAATATTATTTCAAAAGGAAAAGCAAAATCTTAACCAGATAATTGCCCGGCTTTTACTCCTTACCATTTTTAAAAACAGATATCAAATAGGCTCATCTCAAATTAGCAAGTAGACAATCCAAAGAGCAAGCTACAAATAATGAAAGGCCATCTGTTGCCATGTTTCTAAAACAGGGGCCTAAATTCATCCATCTTAAGTGAATTTCTTAAGCAAGTAAAAACTCATTAGTCATCAGACATATGATTACTAGACGAAGCACATACTCTAAGTTTCTAAGCTATGCATTCAAAAGAAAAAAAGAAAAAGAAAGCCTCCAGACAGTTCTTTCTGGTGTTTGTATAGGCTAATTAACAGAAAAAAGTAGAAATGATGTTACTTAAGCATTTAAATAATCACTTGCCCAGTAAAAATAAATGAACAGCAAGGGACCACCTACTTCCTCAATAACCTTACTACATACACATGTGCATGTACATGTACGTGTACATGTACATACACACACACACACACACACACACACACACACCCCTTTAGTACCAACTTCCATAATACAATCTTAAACCACCACTCCTTTCCCTGCTCCCAGAAGGGACCTAAGATAAGTACCAATGGCTCCATTTAGATTCTGGAAGTTAACCAGGATAACAGTGTGTACACTACACACTGTTATCCTGGTTAACTCACTGACACAGGTCTGTCTCTCCAGTCCCAAGAGAAAACTCCTAGCGGGTAAAGATCCATGTTCCAATCATCTTTGTGTGCCCCACAGTGCTAGGATCTGCAAAATGTTCTACAGAGAGAGCACTAAGAAATGCTGAACATTAAAGAATTAAAAAAAAAAAAAAAAAAAAAAAAAACCTAGATGTTCTTAGGAAGAGATCTTTGGAATTCCAGAACACAATACGCAAATGTTCTCATTCCTAAACCTCCCAAAGAAGGTAGAGCATATTTAGCTTTGTGGCATTACGTGTCCAAAATGTTATGTACGAACTTTAAATAACGCATGTATGGCTGAATTTTCTCATCTGAACAATGAGAATAATAAAAACTCGTAACTGATAGGGGTTTGAAACAGTTAAACATGTTGGTATAGGTAGTTAAAGTCTCCTTAGATGAGTGACTTGAATGCTATACACATTACTTATTAAGGGTTACTTATTTTACTGTGAATAATAAATAATATAAATAAACAAGTAAGGTCCACACAGCCCTGCAAAGGAGACAAAAGCTTAAAAGAAATTAGCCTAGAGGACATAATATCACAGTTTGGCAAACTTCTCTGTAAAGGGCCAGACACTACTGTAAATACTTTTGGCTTTACAGGACACGCCGCAATACCCTCAACCCTTGGAGCAACCATTCTCCCTGAAAAATTAGTAAGTTTCTTGTTTACATTTTACATTTCAGGATTTAAAAATCATTCTTAGTTCATGGGGTCATACAAACACAGGCTGGATTTGGCCCCCAGACTCTGGTTTGCCAACCCCTGGTGTTTTAAAGCAACATAAAGAAACGTTTATGAATTGCTTAAAGGTGACTGAAAAACGTGCGGCCCTAAACTTTTAAAATCAAGACAGGCGGACAGGCGCTGTGGGGAATCGGGCCAAGACTGGAACCAGTCCTCAGGAACCTCAGGAGCCCCTGCCCACACTTACTCCCAGCAGAGGCCCGCGGCCAATCACCGTCTCCCCGGGCGCCAGGGCCACTCGGGGTCCGCCGTCCCGCGGCTGCAGCACGAAGCCCCCGGACATGGCGGACGAGGATTAGGCCTCTTCTCCAGGAGACTAACCCGTCCGCTGTTTCCGCTCTCCACAAACACGCGCGGGGCAAACCCAAGCCTCGGAAAAAAACACCGCGGGAGTGGCGCAAAGGGACCCCGCGGCTAAGCCGGTCCTCCAAGAGCCCGGCCCCAGACTACCGAGTCCCGCCCTTCCACGCCTACTGATGACGCAATTGAGGGATTCCCCCGTCACACAGCCTCAAAATTCTTATTTAAAATCCCCGGCTTATTCTCCACCACCCTTCTCACCGCCCACCCAACTTGGAGGACGCCGGGCCTTGTAGTCCTTGAAGCCTTTATTTCCTTCCTTTCCCGAGCTGAGACGCCCTGGCAAAAACTACCAATCCCCAAAGGCACTTCGCGCCCTCTCGGCGCCTGCGCGAGGTCCGAGTCAGCAGGGCGGGGCTCAGGTGGGCGGGATGTGGAGGGCTACGGGGAAGGATTCGAATTCCGGAGAATTTAAATCGCGGCAGAAGCCACCGCCATCCAGTAGGTAGGAAGGTCTTCCTTTGGCTTAGGTGGCTTAGGTGTCTACGCGTTGGCTTAGGTGTCTACGCGCTTGGGGGCGCGGCCCCGACGCTAGCTGAACCTCCCCTCCGCAGCCTGGAGCCGCGGTGACAGCGCTGACGGTTGTTGTTTTTCACTTGTCAGTGTCCGGTGTTCTTGGGCTCCAGCAGCTGCAGCCCGCGCGGGACACCAGGAGGGTGGCCCAGATGGGACGTGGGGTGATCAGCCCTGACCCACGAGATCCGAACAAAGTGTGGCTCCCAGCTCCTCCGACTGCGCTGCCTCCGATCCATCCCTCCGAGTGACAGGTGAAAGGGGAACGAGATTTTACCTCACTTGAGAGATTCAGCAAAGCTCGGTTCATAAAGGAGAAAGGGCAACAACAACAAAAAGGAGTAGTTTCCAGGCATCTAGGGAACCTGGACGTAGAAGAAAGATTCCTGATGGGATTTTAGAACCTCGCCAAGGCACCCACTGCTATGAAATTCAAAAGCCTTCATTCCCTGTTAAGGGAATTCCGCAAGGGGAGGCATTTGATTCCCCTAGTAAGATCCTGGAAGAAGTGGATAAACACACTGTAACGTTTAAATACACTGTAACGTTTTCCTAATGTGAGATTTTCAAGAACCTAGTAGTTTGGCTTTGGTTTGTATTGATGGTGGGAGGGGCCAATGTATGTGGCAAAAACTTGCTCTTGACTCACTCTTGTTTTTACCAGTTTGCTTTCTTCCTTCCCCAAACCCTCAAGAAGAAGACCTCTGTTGAACACAGACTACAGTTCCAGCCACCACAGCTAATCTGGATCATAAATCAACCTCATGAATGGGAGCCACTATGGTCTTGACAAGTCCAGAAACATAGCTGAGTAGTTCATCTACAAAAGAGATTTGTATTTTATTGAGTTAAAAGAAGTATTTAGCTCTATCTCAAACCCTCCTGTTGCACAACCAACCCCCATTATAAAAGGAAGTGCAAAATGGAATAAATTGATGTTAAGTGAGTACAAGCTGTCTTTGTATACAAAAGTAACTCAAGGATGATGATGTACCCAGTCATGCTTTCAACTGATTTGAGAAACCTGCACCATTCACCTTAGGTACATTAGCTGAAACTGAGCTTTACATCTGGGCTTCAAATAGTCACATGCTATACCTAACTGAGTTCTAAACATTGTTTACAGTTGTCACTCTCTGTTGCTTGATGGCTTCAGTGACTGTTATGCTTAACTCTTAATTAACTATGCATGTAGAAGAGCTTCAAGGAGTCATTTCTAAAATACTAATAACTGAGTTGAATATTTGAGACTTTGCGTGAGTTTGCATCCTAACCCAAATCTCATCTAGTCAATTTCAGATAGTATTTGTGTCAAATGTAAGCACCTACCTACCCATTACATACAAGTAGATAACATTATTATATAAACAACTGGAAGTCCAGCAGGTTTATGATTAAGTCACAAATTGCAAATCAAAAATTTAATGACAAGGCATCAGTTCCCATATACAACAAGTATTTAGAAGTTTAATAGGATTGACTCATACACATTTTCAAAGATACAAAAGTACTGGGTGTGGTGGCTCCTGCCTGTCATCCTAGCACTTTGGGAGGCCAAGGCAGGAGGATCGCTTGAGAACGAGAGTTCTAGACCAGCCTAGACAACATAGCAAGAACAGTTTCTCAAAAAGTTTTTGGTTTCTTGTTTGTTTGTTTTGTTTAAAAAAAAAAAGGTGTGGGGGACACTTAAGTTGAGAGAACCTCTTGAGGCTGGAGGTTGAAGCTGCAGTGAGCTATGCTGACACAGCTGCACTTCAGCCTGGGTGAGAGTGAAACTAACATGTTGAGTGCCTCCCAGGTGCACTAAAGATGTAGCAAGACTAAATGTTTTACACATTATTCCTGTTAATCCTTGCAAGAACTTTCAGGAGAGGAGCAGCATTGGCCCATTTTACAGATTAAGACCCTAAAGTCAAGAAAGTTAGAGTTCTTAAATTATACCCAAAAAGCATCTGACTCAAAGTAGGGTTTATAGCCCTATTTGGAGACTAAGCATGTTTAAATTTTGCCTTTTAGGTTGCATGTGAGGATAATTTACTAAAACATTAAGCTATGCAGAAGAACTCCAAGAGAAGCAATAATTCAAGAGTTTCTCACACAGACTGGAACTCTGTGGATGCTAAGAATGAAAAGCATGAAAGTCAAAACAACTTTGTTGACCTGCTGCCTGAAGAAATCAGTTTACAAATTTTCAGTCAGCTGGACATATGGAGTTTGTGCAAGGCTTCCTTGACATGCAGGAGCTGGAATGACACAGTAAGAAACAATGACTCTTTATGGAAACCTCACTGCATGACTCTAAGAGCTGTGTGCCGAAGAGAAATAGATGATGATCTAGAAAGTGGTTATTCTTGGAGGGTAAGTTTAATCTTTGCAATTTGCAGTGTTTTTGACAGTGTCATGATAGCAGTGTCATGGTTTTGAACCAATTATAACTTCTGCTGCTTGGAGGAAACAGAATTGCATATCCAGAACAACATAGAGACTGTATTGACTTTGGAAATCAGTTAAAGTTAATAGTCTTTTCCTGCTAACCACACTGTTTCCACAGTATCTTTCATTTATCCTTTAACATTTTTTAAATTCTAAATTCAGGAATTTTCCTCTGTTGACCAGAGGGGAATTAGCTCCTTCTTTTCACTTCACTTTATCCCAAACCCCCAGTAAACAGTGTGGCCCAGTCTATAAATACACATATACATGCACACACGTACACAGATACACAAATTTATTAGTATATGTGTATATCAATGTACTCTTTTTTTTCAGCCCTGTCCGTCCCCTTCTCTAGCTTTAAACACAACCACCTACTATAGTCTTTTTTAATGGTGATTTATCTCTTTCAGGTAATACTCCTGAGGAATTACCAAAAGAGTAAAGTGAAACACGAATGGCTAAGTGGCAGATATAGCAACATTTGTTCTTCCATTAGCCTACCAGAAAAAATCATGTACCCAATGGATGCAGATACATGGGGGGAAATTCTAGAAGCAGAACTGGAAAGATAAGGGGGAAAAATCAGCAAACAGATCTCAGGTCTTTGAGAGTTTAAAACTCAAGACGGTTGCAAAAGGAATATCTTTATTTGTTCATTTTGTTGTTGTTCACCTTTTTAAAAGAAAAGGAAACAGAAAATATAAAAGTAAAGCTTTATTTTTGTTTTGCACTTTAGTAAAAAATATTTTTCTGGTTTTATTGTAATGTGGAAAAATCATGCAATTTTAAAAAATATTTAAATATTTTTGAATTATACTAAGTTTTCAGATACATGTACAGAACATGCAGGTTTATTACATAGGTATATACGTGCCATGGTAGTTTGCTGTACCCATCAACCCATCATCTACATTAAGTGTTTCTCCTAATGCTATTCCTCCTCAAGGCCCCCACCCCAATAGGCCCCAGTGTGTGATATTCCCCTTCCTGTGTCAATGTGTTCTCATTGTTCAGCTCCCACTTATGAGTGAGAACAAGCAGTGTTTGGTATTCTGTTCCTGTGTTAGTTTGCTGAGAATGATGGTTTCCAGTGTCATCTATGTCCCTGCAAAGAACATGAACTCATCCTTTTTTATGGTTGCATAGTATTCCATGGTGTATATGTGCCGCATTTTCTTTTCCAGTCTATCATTGATGGGCATTTGGGTTGGTCCCAAGTCTTTGCAATTGTAAACAGTCCCATAATGAACATGCATGCAATGCATCTTTATAGTGGAATGATTTATAATCCTTTGGGTATATACTCAGTAATGGGATTGCTGGATCAAATGGTATTTATAGTTCTAGATCCTTGAGGAATTGCCACACTGTCTTCCACAATGGTTGAACTAATTTATACTCCCACCAACAGTATAAAAGTGTTCCTGTTTCTCCACATCCTCTCCAGCATCTGTTGTTTCCTGACTTTTTAATGATCGCCATTCTAACTGGCGTGAGATGATATCTCATTCTGGTTTTGATTTGCATTTCTCTAATGTCCAGTGATGATGACCCCTTTTTCATATGTCTGTTGACCACATAAACCTCTTCTTTTGAAAAATATCTGTTCATATCCTACACCCATTTTTTGATGGGGTTGTTTTTTTCTTGTAAATTTATTTAAGTTCTTCATAGATTCTGGATAGACTGCAAAATTTGTCAGATGGATAGATTGCAAAATTTTTCTCCGATTCTATAGGTTGCGTGTTCACTCTGATGATAGTTTCTTTTGCTGTGCAGAGTTCTTTAGTTTAATTAGATCCCATTTGTCAATTTTGGCTTTTCTTGCCATTGTTTTTGCTGTTTTAGTGATGAAGTCTTTGCCCATGCCTATGTCCTGAATGATATTGCCTAGGTTTTCTTCTAGGGTTTTTATGGTTTTAGGTCTGACATTTAAGTCTTTATTCCATCTTGAGTTAATTTCTGTATAAGGTATAAGGAAGGGGTCCAGTTTCAGTTTTCTGCATATGGCTAGCCAGTTTTCCCAACACTATTTATTAAATTAAGGGAATCCTTTCCCCATTGCTTGTTTTGGTCAGGTTTGTCAAAGATCAGATGGTTGTAGATGTATGGCATTAGTTGTGAGGCCTCTGTTCTGTTCCGTTGGTCTCTATATCTGTTTTGGTACCAGTAATATGCTGTTTTGGTTACTGTAGCTTGTAGCCTTGCAGTATAGTTTGAAGTCAGGTAGTGTGATGCCTCCCACTTTATTCTTTTAGCTTAGGATTGTCTTGGCTATATACATTTTTTTTTTTTTTTTTGGTTCCACATGAAATTCAAAGTAGTTTTTTCTAATTCTGTGAAGAAAGTCAGTGGTAACTTGATGGGGATAGCATTGAATCTGTAAATTACTTTGGGCAGTATGGTGAAATGTTATTTTTATAAGATAATATACTAACAGAGTGATTTCAAAATATGTTTCATGTATTTGTGATAATATATTCACAATACTAAATGAAAGAGTGACTGGTATGTTCAGCTTAATGATAATTCAGAATTTCAGGAAGCCACTTGAAACTTAAGATTCATTAAGTGGTAGATATAACTAGGCTCATGGGAAGAGTAGCTAAGCAAAATTAATAGCAATACATTTAAATTAATACATTGGCATTTTAACGACTTTAACGTTTCCATTTCAGTGGAATCAGATTGAAATGTCCAATAGTGAAACTAATTTAAATGTGTTAAGCCTGTGGTTTAGTTTTAAGTTAATGTGATCTTAGAGTTTATGTAAATCTGGAATGGCTCTCAGGAGCTGAAAGCATGTGGAAAGTTTCCAGAACACTTAGCTGCCATCAGAGCTGCCACACTAGCCTAGTAAAACTCTTTCTGACAGCCTTATAGCACCATCTAGTGTGCTATTCTTAGATAGTCAGACAAAGGAGTTTCAGCTCCTTTTTGTTTTCTCCATAATAAAAAGAAAGAAAACTATTATTCTAAAGAATCCTTAACACTAGTCTTTGTTAAAGTTTATAACTTTTTAGGAACCTTTATTTTAACTATATTATTTATATATATATATATATATATATATATATATATTTTTTTTTTTTTTTTTTTTTTTTTTTTTGAGATGGCGTCTCACTGTCGTTCAGGCTAGAGTGCAGTGGCAAGATCTTGGCTCACTACAACCTCTGCCTCCCAGGTTCAAGCGATTCTTCTGCCTCAGCCTCCCAAGTAGCTGGGACTACAAGCGCGTGCTACCACACCTGGCTTATTTTTTATTTTTAGCAGAGACAGGGTTTCACCATGTTGGTCAGGCTGGTCTCAAACTCCTGACCTCAGATGATCTGCCTGCCTTGGCCTCCCAAAGTGCTGGGATTACAGGCATGAGCCACCGTGCCCAGCTAACTTTTTTCATTTTAACTTTTGTTTCTCTTTTTCATAAAAACAGATGATATGCTACTCACTATACAAATTGTTCTGAATCTGTAGTCAACACCATGTAAAAAGTGTCTACAAAAATGCTTTAGTTAGTATGGCATATGTTAGAACATTTAAAAAATGTTCTCTATAGCATTAAATGTAAGAATCCAGGAAACCAGTATTTAACAGATGGGCAAGTATTAGAAAGATGCCCCACTATATGCAAATTCCCTATGTTGAATCAAGCAGTAGATAATTAATTGTCTCCTACTATCTTCTCAGAGTTGGAAGAGGCCTTGAAAATCAGGCAGTCAAGTCTCCAGGATTATCTAGTAATTTTCTCAATAGGAACACTGTCAGTCAGCCAGCCCAAGCTCAAATCCTGAACTTCTGCTAATAGAACCTGTATATGTCACAGAACAGTACAGTTGTAGTCTAGGCTTGCTCTGAGCATTAGAATTTCTTCCTCATTGAACTGAAGACCACCTCTCTGTAATGTTTGCCTTCTAGCCCCACACCCACCCTCTAGAACCAGGCTGATTCAGTCCTCCTCCTTTATGATTGCCAGATATTTGAAGACTGCTAGCCTATCTCTTCCTAGATCTTCTTCCTAATTCCACTGCTAATCATAGAGTATAATTTCTCGACCCAACAGCATTCTCTTCTGTCCATGTTCTCTTAACAAAAGAAAGATATCCTACTAATTTTATTTCACAAAAGATAAAGCACTTTGAAACTTTCAAAATATGGGAAAAATTACATCTATAAGCATCTTGCTGAATGGCATCTGTGTACAATAGTATATGCACACATATTTTTAGCTGTTTTTTTTTGTAATGGATGTTTATTTTTGTCCAACCTCCTTACTATCTATCACCATCATCTGTTAATAGAAGTTACCCTAATTAGAGAGACTCACTCATCTCACTTCCAACCACCTACTACACATGTGGCTTTTTTTTTTTTTTAACATTATCCTGTCTTTCGCAGCCTCTGTGTTTAGTCTCAGAATGGAAACATGATCTAATCCCCGCTTTCCATAAGGTGGAAGAAAGAAGCCCTTTCCTCTTTGCCAATGAAACTGTTCCCTGCCATGCAAAGAAAATGGATCTTAGGTAAGAGAATATGGAGCCACCAGGAGAGAGAACAGTTGCAGGGAAAGAGGCCTCGTTATATTCCAGACCCTGGTTCCAGCCATTCCTCATCTGCTTACCTAAACTAATTCAAACTGAGTTTTGGCATCATACCGGGAGCCTTACCTGATGTGATTTCTTTGCCTATGTTTAAAATGTAGTATTTGTGCCCTACATTAGTATCTTAGATTTTACTCTTGACTTCCTCACCAGTCATTCATTTATCAACCTATTGTCATATGGCCATCACTCCACGTGGTTGAAACTGTTGTTATCCAAATTACAAGTGACTTAATGGTTAAATCCATTGGATGCATTTTAGTTGTTAATATATTTGACACACATTAACACTCACAGTGACACACATTAAGTACTTCCAAAAAACTCTCTCCTCCATGGTTTGGGACTACAGTCTCTTGGACTTTTCTTTCCCTTCCCTAACCAGACTTTGCAGTTTCCTCCAAAGGCTCACTTTTGTTCATCTGCTCATTACACGTTAGTGTTCCCCAAGGTTCTGACTGTTGCTCTCTTGTCTCTATAATCTGACATCTTTGGTGATCCCATCTACTACTCCTGTGTCAGCTACCATTGTTGGTGCTGATGATGTCCATGTTCGTGTCCCAACATCAGATCTCCTGGAGATGCTCCAGCAATACATATGCTACTATCTTTTTGGATTTTTAGCAAAGTTATAAACACCTGAATCAAAACTTGTCATCTTATAAAAGTAGTTCTTCCTCCAGTTCCTATCTCAGTGAATGATAGATCCTGTTAAAAAATTCAACATATTTTACTTTTCTCCATCATTCTCCATGTCCAGTCAAGTCAATTCTTACTGATTTTATCATCTAAATATCTAAGTAATTCACCCCTTCTCCATCTTTATCTCTGCCTCATTACTTAATTCTTGTCCTTATTCGAAATTGAGATTTCTAAAATAACCTCTTAACTGGTGTTCCTGCCTCCAGTTCCTTCCTTTTACTGTTAGCAGTATAATCTTTGTTAAACCCCAAATTAGCATGTCGCCCCTAACT